TAGCTGGGATCATCTAGACCCAGCACTCTTTCCTGCTTATGCAGGGGGTCGGACTTGATGATCTATTGAGGTCCCTTCCGACCCTGACATCTATGAATCTATGAATCTATAAGGTGCAACATAGTACCGTGTAGACATGTCTAATCCATTTTCTGAATATACTCTGATTTCCAGCAGATCTAACCTGACACTGTATTTCCAATACCTGAGTTAGCCTGTTTGGAGTTAGTTCATAGGACTAACAAATGGCTGTATGCAACTGCTTACCTACCCCTCTCACTAAGCAACTCAATGCATTGAATACAATTCTCAAACATCAGGAACCTGGTCTTTAAAGGCAGGATGGTAATATCAATCTCTCAATGCTTTACAAACCCACTGAAAGATAACAAGACTTCTACTTTCTCTCACAAAAAGGAGCCCCCATTATGATCTTGAAAAACTCCTTCAGTGGTAGCCCCCACTTTTTCTGGGGTCATGCGAAAGAAAATCTTTGTCTCCTTGTACCTGCAAACATATTTTAAAAGGTCAGCCATTTGTTTTAGAGAACTGCTGTTATTCAAGGACATTTTTAGCATTTTAACATTTTTAGGACTTACTGGATTTGTGATGTACTCATGGGAGATTTCATTCCAATCAAAAATCTGCTCATTTACCCACTCTCTTCTGCAATGTAATTCCTTCTTTTTTGGGGTTCTTGTGACAAGGTTTTTAGCATACTTCACAGATTTGTTGGAATCTGACGTGGCCATAGCCATGAACGCTTCTGCTATAGTCTCAAACTTGCGACTTCTGGGCTGTCAACCATGCCTTGGAATGTAGTTACACATTCTTTCCTTGGCTAAACTGCTTCTGCCTTTACATTATATCCCTGATAGGTGGCAGCCTGGCAGGCTACATCACGAGTCACAAAGCTTTTCCCATGACCTCTAAATTGCTGACAGAATTGTAGCTTTAGTTATCACTACATGATTATTCCTTGCATGTGCTGAGTTTTTAATTCTAAGACTTTGAACTGAGAATCTACTCCCTGTAGGTTAGCTGCAAGAGAGACATGGTCACTGCTTATATTTCCTCAGATGTGACAAGTACTTTCTCTTTTCTGCAACTTTTACCAAATTCTTTATATAGCTTTTAAATTGTACACTATAATACTCCAAAGGCCTCTGGATTACTAATATAACTGGATATTATTATACTGCCCAAACCAAAATGAGCAAGAAGTCTTAATAAATACAGCATTGTGTTTCTCATCATTAATATTTGTTTGCCCAAACAAAACCACTATCTTGAGTTTCCTCTCTCCTGTTTAGCACATGAGTGAATCTTGACACCTTTTCCTTAATGGATACAGCTGAATCCCGTACAGATTTTTAATGAATTCTGCTTTACTGAAAATAAATTGTTTGGATCATGGTTATTCAAGGTTGGATGGTTGATGGCTGTTTGAAAGGCTCACAGTGATTAAATTCATTCATTCTATTTTAATAACTTCCTGCTAATCCAGTGCATTTCAATGATACATTTAATATGCTCAATGAAAAGTTAACACGTTTGTAAGTGCAGAAGACAAAACGG